GCGAAACAGTCCTTAGGAAGACTGTTGTGGAACCATATGGCACCCAAGGAGAACAGCTAGTCTTCAAAAACTGTCCCAARGGATTTCTGAATTTCTAAAGAGTGATCTGGARCAAAGCAGAGAGAAAATGAAGCATAACCTCAAGGAAAGGTCTCTCTCTGCATGTGTTTGTGTCTCTGTGTGTGTGTGAGCCTGTAGCTTGTTTGTTCTGCCACAAGCTTCGTAGTGATTCCCACATGCAAAAGCTCCAGACTATTCAGAGCAGTCAAAGTTAAAAAGCAAGGTCAAAGAATGAAAAATGAGCAGTTGTAATGTGATTAGGAAAGATGAGAACACCTTTTGGAGCTCAAAGGCGGGTAAAGAAAGGTATTCCTGTTACATGCAATAGAGTGTAGAGAGAATGGGAGGGGAGAATAAGGATGGAGCTGCTGCTTTAAGATATGGACTCAGTGTCAATAGGAGGATCTATGTTAGACAGGTTTTAGGCTTTTAAGTCTGAAACTGTCATTCAGAAAACCCTGTCAATTCATTGTTTCCCTCCAAAAATGCCTCTCACAAAGCCAGGAATGTCCCTTAGCAGCTGGAGGTCTCTGCTGTGCCGAAGGCCTGACCTGGACAGGACTTCCCCTCTGCCCTGTGAGACAGGCCTTGGTTATTGAGTGGCAGGATTAGTTTCCTGCCAGCCTTGTGCTTTACAGTACAGCAAGACAGCTCAAACAAATGAGCCAGTGGCAGAATTTTGGAAAGCCCTGGAGAGATTGGGGGTCCCCAGCTTTCCTTGCCTTGGCTGCTTTTGCTGGCTCAAGGGGTCTCCTTGCCCATGGCATCCCCCTTATCTATAGATCTGGGTGGGTCCTGGGTTGGCAAGCCAGGGAGATCAGCTCCATGTTTCCGCTGCAAGAAGGTAAACTGGTATTTTCTAAGGTAAAATGGTATTTTCTAAGGAAAACTGGTATTTTCATCAAAATTTGTGCTGGAGATAAGGATGACATGTTCTCCCAAAAGGCTTGCACAGCCTTCTAGGGCTTGACAGAAAAGTAATTAGCTTCCCTTGATGTCTGCTGTCATCCTGAAGAGTGGMGAAAACCCAGAAATGAGAGGAGCAATCTAATAAGCTTGAAAAAAATACAGCTTTGAGTGTAGATGTTTAAAGGAAGAAAAAGGTAGCCTCTGTAATTTGGCAGCATTCAGGCCCTCTGCTGAGGCAGGGCAGGTGGCCCTAGAGAACTCAAGTTCCAAATTTATTTCCTGAGTTTCTATGTAAGCCCATTTTTCTCCAAGATCCACGTCACAGAATCAAGCACACTGAATCACTTAGGTTGGAAAAGACCTCTAACCTTTGACCAACTATCCCTTGTCAGGTAGACCACAGCATGAAGTCCCGTTGTTCCTTGAACACCTCCAGGRATGGTGACTTCAACACTTCCCTGGGCAGTCCATTCCAGCGCTTAACAACACTGTGAAGAAATTCTTCCTGATGCTCAATTTGAATGCTCCCTGGCACAGCTTGAAGTTAGAACCTCTGAATTTCACCATGGCAGCCACACAAAAATGATGAACACCAGGCTTCTTGCACCTTAGTTCAGGAGAGGCATCTCTCACTAATTGGATCTTAACAGGGAACAAGTACCAAAAATAATGAAAGCAGTCCAAAATATCTAATGAAACATTCTCAGTAACTGTCCAACTCATTAGCTGGAAGTAATTTTGTAACTTTGATACCCCTCCCCCTCATCTGACTTCTGGCAATCACAGTGGCCCTGGAAGGCTTCACCAGGCAGGAAGAATGGGCAGCAGGCCCATGGCAGCAAACTGTTTAATGACTGGGTTGTTGTGAGAGTGACTGTCATCTGTGAGAGGAGGATGTTTTCCAGCTTGTCCTTGGCAGCTGAGGCTTTGCTGAAGGATAACCACATTGCAAAGACAGGGAATGTCAAGAACTACTTTTGCTTTTAGGCATTTTGAGTGATGGGTGCWCTTATGAAGTTCAGATTTGGATCTRTATTTCCTTGAAGCTMAAGAAGGGCTGAGCATCCCTTAATTAGGAAAAGTAATCCCTTTAATTTCAAAATACAGCTAGAGGCTTGTTTACGTAGTCAACCACAGAGGTTTCTCGAACTCTTCAATTTATAGGCAGTGATCACTAATTGTTAATTCACTTTTTTACTGTAATGTGAAGTTTTTCAAGTTCAGTCTGGAACAAAGAAAGAAGGCTTTGGGCTGCCCTAATTGTGGCCTTTCAGTACCTGCAGGAAGCCTATGAGAGAGAAGGAGACAGACTATTTACTATGGCATGTGGTGACAGGACAAGGGGGAATGGCTTCAAATGSAAAGAGGGCAGGTTTATATTAGATACCAGGAATAAATTCTTCACTATGAGGGTGGTGAGGCACCAGAACAGGTCATCCAGAAAATTCTGGATGYCCCATTCCTTGAGTGTTCAAGACCMTGTKGGGCTGTGAGGACCCTGGTCYAGTGAAAGGWGTCTCTGCCCAYAGCAGGGGARTTGGAACCAGATGATCTTTAAGGTCCCTGYCAATCAAAACCATTCTAYGATTCTGCCTGTGTCTACCCAGTGAAACACAAAATGAAAGTTAAAGCAGTCAGGAGCTGAAGCCTAGGTCCCTTGTGAATGGTCTTATGTCTACAGATTTATGCCTTTTATAATGAAAACATGATTCTAATGCTGAGCAGCTTTAAACYAAACCAAAAAGCAGTTTCAGCAGTAAAATGTTAATTATTAACATCAAATATATGAAGTAGGAAGTGTTTAACAGCTTGGCCCAGCTACTGAAAGAGATACCTGCATATACCTACATTACAAAGCTTGTTCTACTGTAGCAGAGCTTCCTCTGAAATAGCAGCACTACCAAAARCCAATATATTTGGTTGAGAAATAATCCCATTTCATTTGAAACAATCAGAAGACAATAAGTATTGTTTATCTGTTTCTGTTACTGTTCCAAAGGATTCTGAATAGTGAAATGCCCAAGCCCTTTATTCAGTTTCTTTCTCAGGAAGGAAGCAACAGTCCAAGTCACAGCATTTTGTTACTTGCTGTCACAATAACATGCTGTTGTTGCACTCCAGAAATGGCCTAAAGGAATAAATCAGCATGGATGACAGTTTTTCACAGCCAAGCACTCCCCAAATGTCTAAAAAATTGCATTAACTGTAAAACTAACAAATAAACTCCTCTGTTATTTAGTATGTTCATAGTTGTTCAGTAACTGCTAGGTGACAAAGCAAACTTCTTTTTCTGCTGCTCTTGTCTTCTGATACTTTCAATGCAGCAAAGCAGAATATATTTGATGGCATCACTGAAATGCAACATACCTCCACATTCATCTGTTCTTCTACTGAGGGGATGTCAGAGGTTAAGTACAGCTCTTCACAGGGAAAGAAAAGCAGCATGAAAACCATGGTGCTAAGAATTAAATGAAGTTACCACCTCCCATTAGTTCAGGTGTCACTGCTGAACTTCTGCTTTTCTTCTGATCATTTCCCCAGTACTTTAAGAATGAGGCTGAGATAAAAATTGTAGATAATATTTTGGGCCCTGTATAGGTTACAGAGAAGTATCTAATTTAATGCTGTTAAGATTCCTACCTGTATGCATTTTAAAACAGCATGTCCCKCCACCTTAGGGGCTTCAAGAATAGTCTCTTCTTCCTTTTTGCACACAGAAGGCCTGAGAGGCATTGAAAGTACTGCACACATACAAACTGTAGTCACCTGAGCAGCACGTGATTTCACATTTGAGGGACATCATCCATACACTGACTCCAGCTGTTGTTCTGCATCTTTGGGAGCTGGAGAGGTTTAGTGAAGTCACCACACATTGACTCTTCTATTCAGACTTTCAGCATTAAACTGCGATGGGTAAGGGCATGAGCACCAAGTTTATTCCTTGCCTCTGTTACTCCTGGTTAACAARGCAGGGGGATGTCTACAGGAAAGATTCTCACTAAAAGGTTATTGCTTAGCTTTGGTTTTAAATGATTTTTCAGTTATTCTTATGGAAAATTAGGAGAAACAGCCAAATCCAGAATTTGAGGTAATTTCTGTGCCAGTAGCTAGTCCAGCTTCCACTGAGGGACTCCATCACCAGGATCGCTCTGCCATGAATAAACTGAAGACATGAGCTTATTCAGAATTTTCTATTCATGAATAATGTTATTTTGAGGACACACTATAGTTATCTTCAGGGACATGAGAACTGGAAGGCTACCCCACCTCACCCTTCTGCAAGAGCAAGTTAAAAAAAGCCCRTGGAATGCCTCTTTTTTTCTTTTTCTGGCATGCTGTATATGAAGGCAGARGCAATTAACGCAAGGAGAACAAAGTTGCCAAACCTGGCTGTTCAACCAGCAAGACCTATCCAAACTCTGCGAGGTCTGGACAAGGAGACAATTACAGAAAAGTGGTCTATGGAAGATTCTCAAAATAGAAGAGCTTGACAGAAAACTGTGTGGTTGTTTCCTAGCCTGGCTTCCAAGTCCCTCCCTTGGCCTTCCCCCTAAATCCTATTCAGCTTGGAAAAGCCCTTTCACAGGAGAGACTGTCACAAGTCTATAAGCAGATCTTYAGGCAATCCTGAGGGACAACCTCAGGCTAAAAATAAATGAATGACCTGGCAACACTGATCTTTGAAAGCAGCTGCTTGCKGTATTGAATCCAAAAGTACTGCTGCTCATATTTCTGCCTTCCTAGACAGAAGGCAAAGGAGAGCCAAGTCAAGAAAATCTTGATCAAGAAGCCCTAGGTGCCAGAGGCAGGTGTCTCCAAACTCTGTCTTGAGCACCTTTAATTCTTACATACTCACAGGCCAGCTGCCCTCTTCCACCCTTAGACAAAAGACTGCAGCTCCCAGTTGAAATCAGTACACACATCTATATTTTTTTATGTCTGTCGATCTATCTGTCTATATCTGTCTATCTATCTATCTATCTATCTATCTATCTATCTATCTATCTATCTATCTATCTATCTATCTATATTTTTTGCAGCTACCAAAATGTAAATTAACTCCAATGCAAAGGAATTCAAATATCTCTCTCTGTAAAGAAAATTAAGACTCAGCTTTTAAAAATACTAGTTACCTTTTTCACATAAATCAACTCTAATGTAAATGTACACTCATGGGAGGAAAGACAACTAAGTATCYTTACATCTATTGTGAAGAGTGTCAGGAGAAATATGTAAAAAGTTAACATATTTCCACATAAAAATATTTTTTTCTTCATGTAGCATAAGCCTTTTACAAGACTTTTTTGGTTTGGATCTTGGTGCAAAACATTAGCACCTATTTTTCTAACATGGTTTTGAAAAAGCAGATAGTTGTAAGGAGACTACCTTGCCCAGCTAGTGAATTTTGCTTCACATACTGGAAAYAAAAGCCATAAAACACAGAGCATCTTTATAAAATAGCATTTCCAGTATAGAGAAAAGAACTTAACTTTGAAGCAAGGCTAGCAGAAATTTCATTATGTTTTATACAGCAGGAATGGTTTGGCTCCAGGTATATTTAATGAAACCCCTGAAGGTTTAAATCCCACTATATTACAAGAGCATTACTCGCTCAGACTTAATTACGGATTCCAGTTGCAGCATGACCCTATCTGCCCCAATGCAGCAACTCAGATAACAGGACAGCTTCGCAACACCATTTTCTTGGCACCTGAATTCTGAACTTGGCACAGCTGATTAAGATCAAATAAATGTTGACATGAAGACCCTGTTACAGAAAGACAATGCCTTCCCAATTCACCAGCATTCCACAAGGGATACTCTGAAACACTTACTTTGTGAGTGGTGTCTCCAGCAAGCCAGCTCCACCTTCAATACTACTGATTATCACTCAAAGAGAAATGCTTGTTTCCAAACTCCCCAGATTATGGGATGTCTGTGATGACACCAATTCAGGAAACTCAGCTTCAACAGAAGGCTTCAGAAAGGAAAGGAGTTCCTTTCAACCAGTKCCAGAAGTTTTGTGTTTGAGCAATTGGAGGACACGGAAAAGCATTTTCAGGAACAGACCTAGAGATGCATTTGCAATTCACTGCACCTACACAGTTCAGCTCTATTTCTTGAATGTCTATGTCATATTTTCCACACACCCTATCCTGAAAAGCTCYGTACCAGAGGAGAAGCTCTGCCCTCTTGACAGTAACCGTAAATTCAACAGAATGCCACATGCCACAACTGTGAACATTTCAAGTGGAGATGGCAGTGCTGTATGTGCTTTGTTTCTACCATGTGGAGAAGCTGTTGAAAATTTCCAGATGATCAAAGAAAGAAGTTCACATACATCTGGAAAAAGGAGGGTGCTGAACCTGCACCCTGTTTTCACAGCCTGGAAGGAAAAAAAACAACCCTCTCCTCAACTCCCTATTCTGATTGTTTAATTCAACACTGTGATCAGAATGCAAGAGTCTACAGAGTATCTTATAAACAACTAGTAATGCCTGTGGATCCCAAATAAATCCCAGATCACATAMAGGTTTTAGGTGTGGTATTTCATATAAAAGCAGAAATAATTTTTAATTTTCTCCTAAAATCAAATTAACTATAGATAATAAGGACAAGGAGATTATGATCTTTTCTGGACTCCAGCGGGAACTTAAAGAAATCCAGATGATAAGAGAAACACAGTGTGACTCTGGTACAAATTTATTTTTATTTTTGCTGCTGTTCAGAGCATCCTCCTCTCCTTTAAGCACCACTCCCTCATCTTCCTCCACTGAGACACTGTTTGCTTAGAGATAAAACTCCTGAGCCCAGAGTTAAAATACACTCCTTAGGGTCTAYGAATATAATGACAAGCATGATTCTGGAAGATTGTATTAGTTCATCCAAAACTGAGAAACAGTGATGTTTCTCTCAGTGAGGGGCAACAAGACTAATAAAAGTTGATAGAATACTTTTTTTCTCTGCAAAATCAAACTCTAATTGCTGCAGTGCATCAGAGAYTAGACAGTAGGCAAATCTCTTTACAGCTCTACAGCCTAGATGGGAAAAATGGCAGTTCAAATAATGTTCCTGTGTCAAATCATTAGGGAATCTGACTATGAGCTCTTGTTGTTTTGCAGCCAAAACTAGGTTATATACGCATGTTCAGACTTTGGCTTGCTAGAGAACGTCCTGTCAGAAGCATCAGAAAAAACTGAACCTGAACAATCTGGACAAAGTTGTGGCTTTARGTTGAAGTGGGTTTTGTTTCATTTTGTGTTAATTTAATATTTGTTTGTTTATTTAAATCAGCATGTGGTCTACCCTTCRGAAACAGTTCAAGAAATAACTGCACATGGGTTGTTGGAGTGTATATGTATGGCTTGAGTTTTCTCTTCTGTGTGGAAATAAGTGGCAGAAGAGACAACTGGTGACATTTTAAAATSTCTTTGTAAGGAAAGAACAATTTAGCAACATCATTATTATAGATTTTAACATGTTYATGAACAGCATGTAATATATGCTTTTTAATAGTATTTGACTTAACTGGATTACTGTCTCTTCAGTTTTTCATGGTTATCACTGAACACCTTCAATTTACATTCTTAAATAAATTACTGTGTAAATAAAATATGCTTAGAGTTCTTGTATGCGAACAGTACTTACATTTAATTACAAATGATCTGGATATGTTTATAGGTGAAATACATTGAAATTGTTTACAGGAAATAAGCTCAACTAGCATTAATTTTGAAACCTAAATTTTCACAACAGTACTGAAAGTAGCTCAGCTATTTTTTTGAACATGCTTTTCAAAATGGAATTTGGAATGCAGTAGAAAAAAAATCAAAGAAATGCCAAAAAAAGAGGGAAGCACAGAAGATCAAAACTCCATAGCAGGTCAGATCAATAAAATATTAAACTGCAGTTCTTAAATGTAAGTACTACACCAAGTTGTAGTCTGGCTGTTCTTAAATGTTAAAGCCCTTGTTTTCTAAAGGAGACAGTAATAAGCATTTTGCCTATTCAATCCACTCGAGATTTAGACACCGTGCTATAAAAGCAAACATATCTGACACTTCTTCTATAACTTTAGCTGTTGGTTTTCCCGCTCCGTGCCCAGCCTTGGTGTCGACATGGATGAGAAGTGGATTGGTTTGTTTATTGCTCCGGCCCACMACGTACTGCAGGGTGGCGATGAACTTCAGAGAATGCAGAGGGACCACACGGTCATCGTGGTCCGCTGTGAGAAGCAGCGTGGAGGGATACTGGATGCCATCTTCTTCTGGTAGCTTGACATTGTGAAGTGGAGAGTACCTGAGAAAAGCACACAGATGTTTGTGCATCTTTTTCCTCAAGACCCAACAAGAAGGTCCCCTCCTACCGAAATCGTCACAGTGGCATTTGATAGCACTCAGAATAGAACAGTTCTCAGTTACAAAAATTAGAGCTGCACTAATGGCAAGTGACACATAATAGTGGCCACAGATCTCTGGCTCTGAAGAAATGTATTTGCTTCACATTTCAATTTCAGAGTGACATACACATACATCTCACTGAAATATCCAAAGTATCAGGAACAGGCAACAAGGAAACTGTAGCAAAATTTGTCAAGCCCATAGCAGGATCCATCTTGCTGGAAACAGGGAAATTGAGACTCTCAGCAAGCAGCTAAGAAATTAATTAAGATTCTATTATGGTCTAGTCCCATTCAATTCCTACAAATAAATCCCACACACTGTATAATACAATTCACAATGGTGACTGCCTCTCCCTCATGATAAAAAATACAATTAATGCAGTAGTTCACTTGAGAATATTCTGTTATGATAGCCTAAAGGAGTTATTCAGAAAGAAAACCTTACGAGCTGTTAAAAGCTGCTGGGAGAACAAGGTCTTTGAAAATATGACCACTTGATTCAACAGGGCTTTGAAGGCAGTCTTTAATTCAAAACTGACTTGTAAGGAAATGCTGATCTCCCTAAATTCAGTGTGGGAAATGATGCAGTMATCATTAGAACAGCTATTAATCATGACAACGTAAAACCATTGAGCAGACCACGCGTTTTAACAACCGCAGCAAGTACTGAAAGGCACTTACTTGCACAGCCATTCAAACTGCTCTTTACAGTCAGAGCAGCCATAGTCAGTGGTCCAMGCATGGCCAATGGTGTACTTGTGGAACTTGAGCATGTCCATCACTCCCACTTGGGCAATAGCACAACCAAACAGGTCAGGACGCTGGTTAGCACAGGCAGCTTTAAAGGGAAAACATTTCCATTAGTGTTCAGATCTTAAGCTCAGCAGTAAAAGGTTCACTACCAAATTGCACTGAGAGAAGGCTGTCAGTGAATATGAAGTCATAGACACTTTCAAGCAACACTGCAAGCAAATACACAAATAGATAAAAAACGTAACTCYGAAAGATGGTATATTGAACAGAAGAAGCATTTCTGTGGTCTTCAGACACCAAACRTGCTGTTCTATTCACACCATCAGACTGGGTCTGAAGGAGAAATGATTTTTTTAAGCACGTGAGATTTTGGACTACTGAACTGACTGTTCCTAAACCATTCACTTTTTAAATTTTAATATTAGTATCAAGAAAGAAAAGGGCACTAAGGATCAAGAGCCCTCCATTTACTGACAAAAGTTTTCTTCGATAATCACTAAGTAAACCCATATGAAAAAGTTTTGATAAAATCAGACTGCTACAAAATTAGAATAACCTCAGCTTAACAAAGTGAATTACTGCTGTATTTTCTTGTTTTACGATTTTTATCTTTCTACAGTCGGAAGGGAAAATTTCTTTAAGGATTATGCTTGCYTCATATATTTCAAAAATAACCACAGTAGGCCCATCAAGCTCACTGTTCAATTTATAAGAGTGGCAACTGGCAGATGCTCTGGGACAAGGTGTTTAACAAATACTGGGAGATCTCTCCTGTAAATTATTATCTGATGAACTAGTTATTTATGTTTTCTCTGAGCTGGAATTATCTCCAGCTATCCTATTAAACAGCTATTAAAACACACATCCTCTGTAAATACAACTATTTCCACTCTTAATGTTTATTCATCCAGTGTTCATCATATCCTGTAGCAGTAAGTTCCTCAATTCCAGTTCCTGTTTCTTGATTTAAACCTGTTGTCTGATGATTTTAAAAATTCCCCCTTTTTTTTTTTTTTAATTTTAAGAAATAAGAGCACTGAAATTTCCACATAACTACTACAATGGATCCCTTATTTAATTCAGAACTACTCACTGTCCATCAACATGGAGATATAATCTTTCCCAAATTCTTCATATATCCTCATTTTTGTCCGTTGTGAAAATGGATTGATTATTGCCATTTCTTGCCTCCAGCTAACCATGATATTTCTATGACATGACTTTGCTTCCTGTTCAGCAAGGACTTTCTTTCACAGCCTTATGAGGAACCTTGTCAAAAGGTTTTGAAAATCCAAGAATAATTCCTCACCTAGATGACTGTTACAAGGCCCATATGCAACCTGACTCCTTTAGAGAGCTGTAATACATTTGAAAGCTGCAACTTCAGCCTGCAGAATTCTTTATGTCAGCTATTATTTACTGGTTTCAATAGCTTGTCCATTAAGAGAAGTCAGATTTACTCATCTGCAGCTTGTGGATCACCATGACCCATTTAAAACTTGGCATTACACTTGCCCCCTTCTGTTCCTCAGATATTCAGGCTTAGTAGCCTGCAATTTCCTATCAGAGTTCAGTTAGGATCCTGCATGTGCACCATCTGTTCCTGGCAATACACTACTTTTTGTTGGATTGATTCATTCCAAAACCTCTTCTGCTGATGCTTCAACCGGAGTCAGCTCCCCAGAATATTCCTTATGAAGGCAGAAGGGTTCAGGGAACCCCCTACGCTCCTCAGGAGGGAACATCAATACAAACAGACCATTTAGTTTGTCTGCTTTGCCATTATTTTTCTTTAATGCTCCTTTTATGTCTCACTAACCTGCAAGTCCCACAGATCCTCTGGGCAACTTCCTGCCTCTGATGAGCATAGAAAAATTTCATTGCTAATCTTAATATTGGAAGCAATTTGCTCATCAGTCCCTGCCAAGAATTTACACTTTACCCTCTTTTCTTCATTCAAACATGATTTCTATTTTTTGAAAGATGAAATTTTACTTCTGGTCATCTCTGATATGAATAATGCTTATTCTTCCTTATTTATGAGCCATTTCCATAAGGTATATATAGAGAGTTAAAGAGATGCTAGGTAAAAGATCTTTGTTTTAACTGAAGCTTTTGATCAGATYCCTCCCCTTCAAGCTCTTTTCTTTTATAAACATAAATTGCATTCTGGTAGGAAAGAGTCARAACAACTACCAGAGCATTTTATTTTAATACTCTCTATTTCAAAGGGTCCCTTGAAGCACTGCCTGTTGCTCAGGACTTTTTAAGGGATTGCTGCTTGCYAGYTCAAATGGTTACTTCAGTAAGCAAWCACTTATGGACACACTCATCCATGCACACTGCACCTTTTTAATCAGCCATAATACCTAACTATATGCATTAATAAAGTGTAATATGGAAAAACAATATACTTGTGAATTTTATCTCTCAACACATAATTTTGAGTTTTAAAATTCAGTACTAAAGTAAGCCTTCAAAACATAGGAACTGGTTTTGTCTAAGCAAGCATGAGAGGCCAAACACAGCATTTGCAGGAAAATTTTCAGCTCACAGCTGTGCTGCTCTGCTCAGCTTGGGGAGCACACTGCAGGACAAGGAAGTCTTGTTTTGTGGTTGAATGAAGCAAGAGCTGAGGGCTTTCCAGTCCTTAGAGTCACCTCCTATTAGTCTGACTGAAAGGAAACAGTATTTTGGAAGTGACAATACTCTTCCTTGTCAGTTTTTTCTTCAATTAATAAGAATAGCGAAAATCTGACAGTGGGTCCTTGCACCTAAAGGATGAGTTATGATCTCTAGTGWTCCATCAACAACTATTGCAAAATTTATTCTTGCTTTGATGAAAAAGGTCTTAGAAGAATTTCCTAAATTCACATAATTTTACCCAGTCAAGGAAAATTCCTATCTGGCTCATCAAAAGGGTGGAAATCCTGCTTGATTGCAATTTACCAGTAAATGCAAGGRAAAGATTCTACCAAGATTTTGTGGATCAGGGAGGTCTAGATTCCTMATAMCTGTCTGCTATCAGAATGACATACSCCTTTGYAGATGTCACTTGCTTCCCCTTATAGACACAAGGAGCCCAGCTGAATAGTTCAGCCAGTATACCATGGGGTTATTACTGAAGCTGGGTAGAATGAACCTCTTCCTGACTGAACCTTTAGTCCACMTAACCATAAAACAGTATTTTCAGAAGCTATGTAATATATGCAAAGTTCAACCGCATTTTCAAATGTATTTTCAGGCTCACATAACATTGACTTATGCAATGCTTGCATTCCCAAATGGAGTGCAAACCCTTTAATCCTTTATCATATTCACCCATTTCTACTTTCAATGCACAAGCATATCCTTCTCTTGTATGAGAAGCATACAAGAAGAAASCAAAATACAMRTCTACATGTACTTGTTACTTGATCRTTAAACCAACTGCTTTTTAGAAATAATAATGCAGTTCTAGCTAAAATGGCTTAGACCAAAAATCTGTATAATTCCAAATCTTGTTTCTTATGCTGATGCTAATCCACTGAAAAAAGAAAATAATACCAACAGAGCCAGTATAYAGCAGCAGAGAAATCCAAAAAGAAGAACAAGAAGAGTAGGCTTAGTAAAACTGCTCATTTTCCGTAACTCAGTGGTTTATGAACTTGAGGTGCCTCTTTTTTCCCCCCTTCTCACACAAGTAGCTCAAATCTGTCACACAACTTTTGTGCTGCTTCAAAAAAGGTAAACAGACCCCCATATTATTACTTTGTGTTTCCTTTTCGTTTCAAAATTGCACAACATCACCTTCTTTTTTCTTCTGCTACTTTCAGACACATTATGATAAGGATCTTATCAGAAATAAATTTTGTAGTTCTTAGACTGCTCAAAATATGAGATCTTTCTGTGAYAAGAGTTTCTGTTTAAGAAAAGGCTATTAATTTCCTGGAATTTAAGAACACAGCGGTGAATTTTAAGTGAAGAAGATGTATTTGTAACAGACCACACACAGTTTCCCAATGCTACATAACAAATTTATAGTTCAGCAGTTATTTTCTATTGGTAAACCTTAAGAAAAATAAAAAAAAAAAATCCCAAATGTTTTTTAAACCATTCTTGCTTTCTGTGYGATTCTCCCACAGACTCTAAGTGTGGCTTTTAACAGTCAGCCATTGCCAGAGACTGCAGAATCCCAATGTCCTATGCAAACAGCAAATGAAGTRCTACAGTATATATTGAACACTTGGTACTCATTAATGCATTGACTTTCTGGYGACTTTTGACAGGCATATCTCATCAATTTTGTCTGGTTACTTTGATAAGCCCAGCACCAAACCAGGGAAACAGATAAGCAGTTCTTACCAACTAAGAGGCCCCCATTTGAGCCTCCATTAATAGTCAGCTTCTTTGGGGACGTGTAGCCTTCCTCAATGAGATATTTGGCAGCACACTGAAAGTCATCAAAGCAATTTTGTTTGTTGGCCAAAATACCACCTAGCATGGAAACAAAACAAATCAGTTGATACCATAAAATCCTTTGGATATCATCTCTTCAGAAAAACATGTGTGCAAAAATACCTGGGAACAATTCCAGTTTCATGAACATTTTAATAATTGATTGCAGCTCAGAAAGACAGCAAATGTGAAAGATTCTGTCAACACAGAGAGGGTATAAGATGGTTCTGTCAATAACTCAGATGCTTTCAGAAACTCTGAATAATACATACCAATACTGTGGAGTGAGYGCCAGGTAATGTTCCCAACCAGTGAAAGGAAAGCTAAAAGCTTTGCACAGCAAAATATATACAAAATGACCACATACGGTCCACTTGAGGTTCGAGCTAATGGGACTTTAGTATCATTAAACTCAGTAATAGTTTCTTGAGGCAGCAAAACTTCAACTCATAAAACAAGCTGTATAAAATAAGCACTTCTAATTTTCTGGATATATAATATGTGGCTGGTAATTTACTTTTTTTCTATTAGTTTTTTTCAAACCAGACGATATACAGCTATGGTCAAAAAAGGGACTTCAGAGTTCCATCTTGCTTTGAAATTACATTAATTACGTTCAATATGGAAATGCTTAAGATACTGCTATTATGTTGAACAAAATTCCAAATGTTATCAGACGTGTGAGAGAAGAAGTAATGACAGAAAATGTAGGTCCAGATGACATCATTGATAAGACTTCCAGGTTTGAAAACAAAAGATTTTGCAGAGTGGGTTAGGGAAGGAAACAGATGTTTTTTTTTCTACAATCTATCAATTATTTTAATCTGTTTAGAGAACGCACAATTGCCCAAATCTCATAATCKTCTTGTTTGTTTGGCAAGAGACTAGCTCCTCTCACAGGTTACCCTACCTTAAGACCAAGGTAATCTCARGCAATTAGATGTTAGTAAGAAATGGGAAGAAGGAAGAAAATCCTTGCATTCCTATAGCAAAGGCTGTGGCCCAGCCAAGCAAGTGGGGCTTAAGGATGCAGAAACTGAAGACCAATTTCTTCTACTTTCTTTAAAAGCTCAATCTTTATTCCAAGATGATTACCAAAATCATCTGTGTTCCCACTGTGGTCCATGCACCTCCAGGACCTGGAGGGAAATTAATTTTGCCCTAAAATAAGTAAAATGAGCTATAGTCTGGAGTTGTCTCTCTATCTYCATTGTCCATCAATTGATCCAGACAACCAGTTTACAATGGTTGCTTCATTTCTACGTTGGAGAAGTTTAGCAAGGTAAGTCTGACATTTAGTCACACAGATCTTGTAGAACTGAAATCAGTATACTTTTAATTTGTTGTCTTTTTTTTTAATAAATACACATAATTCTCATATTTATAGAACCATTGAAGAGAGACATACTGGGACAACAAAGAAGTCTTCAAAAATGTGGCAATAAAGGAGAAATAAATCTCATTCTTTGCTCAAAGTACTGGGCTGGTGTAAGGTCAGAATCCCTATCCATACAATTAAACCTAAACAAAGAAACTTCTGTAATTGCTTCTGGAATTAAAGAAGAAAAGATACATATTTTATTTGAAACTACAATAAAAGACTTGGGTCAAAATCAAGCAGGAAATAGGTGGATCAAAGAAGCATTATTATATTAAGATAAAGTTTATTTAAATTTATTATAAATCAATCAGCAAATTAAAATTAATGACAGATACTTCATCTTTAGCAATAATATCCTGTATCTGCAAGCACATACAGCTTCTATTTATGAAACTATTACATAATTAACTCAATTGTGAGGAAATGACCCAGACAAATAGTTACCACAGATGAAATAGTAAAATCAAGATGCAATGATCTGGAAATACCATTTTGTCTGATAAAAAGGTATTATGGATTATTGCCATGGTAAATTGCTGCATCATAAGCACCACGGTACACTTGCCTTCCTGACAATATTTCTGGCAACTTATCCACCAGATTCTTGGACTATGAGTAAAGTGTCACCATTAAATAATGATGGGTCTGTTACAGAGGTAAGAAGGACTTTTTCAGGATTTTTTCTCTGGTGGAGAGAAGTGGACAGTTGTCAACAATATGGCAAGTGGACAAGGACAATTGAATGTTTAAGTTAAGCACATGATCAAGTCAAGATGRGAAAAACATGGACAGAAATACATCAAAAGTGTTAAGAAAGGGGGAAAAGAGACTGACAGTGCTTTGCAGTGTTTGACTTTGTTTCCCTGGGGCATAAAAGTCAGCTTAAAAAAACCTAAAACACCAAATGGTTGCCTATAAGTTGGGATTCCCCAAGAGTGTGGAGGGATGATGTCAATGCACTTTTGGAGCTGACTGTTCTCGTACGAACTTCAATCACAGAATCACAAAATCATTTAGGCTGGAAAAGACCTTTAMGATCATCRAGTTTCAACTGTTAACTCAGCACTGCCATGTCCCTAAAACACACCTATGTGTCTTTTAAATATCTCCAGGGATGGTGACTCAACCACTTCCCTGGGCAGCTTATTYCAGTGCTTGACAATCCTTTCGGTGAAAAATTTTTTCCAGTCACATTCATCAAATATTAAAAAAAAGAGATCTATTCATAAATGATGCAAAAACAGTAAGCAAGAGTTATATTCTGAACTCAAGAGTTCACATCTTCTGTAAAGTTCAGCAAAGCTTTTTTTTTGTGTGTGTGATACCAAAAGAGTCTAAATAGTCAGTATTGTTGTCTTGGAGATTTAGAATTATAGACCCATGTGCACCTACAAATAATGAAAGAGGTATGTGAAAGCAAGCCAGGTCTTTTGCAATACAGACAAATATCTTCTGAAGTTCAGTTCAAGATAAATAGCTACATTTTACAGTATTTAAGTCTAGGGGACTTGATCTTGCTCAAAGAACCACAATGGTTTTCTTGGAAAGTACTRGCTTTGTAGGAAACTGTTTTTAAGTAGGCTGCAAAAATTAAAAGAATCTAATGAAACCCATCAGATTAACACTGGAAAACAAACAGATCTAACATGTAAATAAGGAAAAAAAAATCTACTTTTTTGCAGAATAAGTAAAATGCAAAAGGAGATAAGAGCATGGAAGAGAGAGTGAAAAGAAAATTTTACAATTTTCATTGCTAAGCCTGTAGTTTTGTTGGCCTGCATGGACTTACCTTTGTGCCAGGTCTCTCCATATTCACCACCGCCCCTTATGTTCGCCACTGCTAGCACACCTCCCAGGTGTCGCACAAATATAAGTCTTGACACACTGGAAAAGCAAGCATGGGGGATTATTTTTATTTTCCAATTTTTATACATCTATCACTTCTGCAAAAATACTTTGAGGGCAAGATCTCTCCCAAAATCAATGATGAAATTGTGAATGAAGTTGCTCTTGATGGCAAATGTGAGTAGTCAGGCTTTTATTAATGRTCATCCATGGAAATGAAACTCCCTGCAGCTTTGGGAGAGGAAGGAACCAGTGCTGGTCCACTCTTCCTCCCTTAGCTCTGCTCTTTGACAGAGAGTGGCCTAACAGATGACCACTCAGGATGTGTCACCATTTTTAAAAACTAGCTTCAAAGCCATTAGTGTGCAGACTAGAGTTATGTATTACTGCAGTACCACTGGACCTCCATAGCTTTCTGAACTGTTCCTCTTTCATRGGACCTCCACTTCTTCAGAGAGGAAAGGAAGACAGCCCAAAGGATGAGAGCAATGAATTAAGATCAGCACTTGATCTTTGTTTATGAGCAGGTATTTTCAACCTAMCTTCTGCTCAATATACTTCTTTTARACCTTTATAAAACTGTRTTTGCAAAGAAAAATTCTGTATCTACCATTCTTTTGTGCTGTGGTCAGCAGTCAGTGCTGGGCAATCCCATTCTTGTTCATTTTGCTCTCATACTGCTAAATACAAAACAAAGAGTGTAACAYAAAATTACAGGTTCTATCTCCCCTAATATCTCCTGAACCTGTCTAAAAGCTAAAATAGCAYATTTTTTAAAAATGTCAAACTACACAAGTATCAAAGCTATTACTATATGTTTTTAAAATGGACTGAAGTAATTTAAGTTACATTTAACAATTAAARGAAGTACTCAAAGGTACCTCTAAGTTGAAGGAACCAGGATTTATAAGTATAGAATCAGAACTTAATTTTTAAAAAGTGAAAATTCCAAGTTATCAGACAGCACAAAACGCAAATTTCACACACAACCCTACTACTGTGTCCTGTGTTTTTCCAAGTAGATTCTTGTTTCCAGATTTGATTTCAAGTCAATTTGGTGTCYGAGTCACAGCAAACTGCCCAGTCAACCTGGATGTCTATGAAATGTCTCATTCTGCAGAGGCAAGYCTGGCTCCCTGCTCTTCCCTACAGCCTCTGTAGCCTTTTGGTCATGACCCTTCTTCTTCCTTCTCTCCTGGAAGCCGGCAAGGAAAGGACAACAGGGTCAGGACAGAGTCAGTGGAGGAATCAGAATATGGATCTGCCCTGGAAAGCTCTGTCCAGACTCTCTAATCGCTCTTAAGGAGAATAACACAGAAAGTAATAAATCAGGAATTGTTTTTACAGTAAAGAACAGTGTGAGGAGGTGTGCTTCACAAAGTAAGAACTCTTTYCCAGAATTACTGATCTGCCGTCAGGGTGCTGTATTAGAGCTGACAGAAAAAGACAAGCTAGTGCACAGGTGATGGGAAAGAAGTCCTGAGTCACTGGACTTGGTTGCTTTCTCAGCTTTTCTGGAGCTGAAGGGAGTGGTAACAGAATAAGCAGTAAGAGCAATTTTCCACTCTGYACCGAGAGCTGCTCTGTTGCTTGACCTTTCTCCAGGCTTACAGTCTCTCTCCCCTGCACCACCTCTTTGCTTAAATGCTGTGAACAACCTGGCAGTGAAATGCAATTTCACAGTCTGCTGCACAACCAGCTGTAWTCCAGGATGAGTTAGAATTGCTTCTCCTATACCCACGCAGGCACACACAGAAGGGAAGGGAAACATGCTGGYTCCTTTAGTGTAGTTAGACAAATCTGAGGCATTAGTGGTGGGTTTGTGATGGCATTTCCCCAGCAGCTCTGCCAAGCCACTGGTATCAGTTCCATCAGCTTTCACTTGCACTTGTTATGTGGGCTGTATAATTAATGACAGTGCTCTAGCAAGCACCATCTCAAAAATGCCACCAAATGCAGCTCTCCAGTCCAGAGAAGTGCATGAAAGATGCATGCTTGCATTYAAAAATAAACCACTACTGTAACTGACTTAATGACCATTCAAAAATAAACCACTACTGTAACTGWCTTCATGACTTTGACCTATCATTCCTGCAGTTATTTCTGGATCCTGTTACCTGTTGGTTTGTTTCTGTTGCTTTCAGTGAGAAAGATTTTTTTCACTTTTGATGTGAAAAGGAACGCCAATTTCTGAATTAAGCAGAAATAAGCTCCCCAATACAGAAAGATGGCTCATGCTAATGGGTGTGAAATACCAGTAAGAAAACACTATACTGGCTGGAAGACATGCAGCACAGAAATGAACCACTGGAAAGGAGAAGATGGAGTGCTTTGTGGAAATTTCTAAGAGCCTTAAGTTTAAATTAAAAAAAAACCCAGGAGTATTTAGCCAGGAATTTTTTGTTTGTTTTTTAAAAGTAAGCTGGCTACCACTTGGTTGCATTTCCATAGCTACTTCTCAGCTCAGGATCAGGTGAATGATGTGGCAAGCCTTAGCCTTGGCCATCCTGGGCTGCATTCTAGCAGTAGTGGTCATTAAAAAATGAAAAAAATAACAAATTGTGATGTGAGCTGTGGCTGGAAYAGCACTTGGACTTGGGAACTCCTTCTGGAATATTGCAGGATATAATAACAGGGATGGAGCAAAACATTAGTGGAATCTAGCAGGTAAAGGGTGAACGAGACATCCTGCCTTTCTGGCATAAATTCTCTCTTACCATTTCCTTTCCCTGATTTTGCCTGCCTACTTTTGGAACACAGTCCCTCACCAAGTACTCAATTCTCAACTTATTAGCCATAAACAWGTATTTGAAGGCTTTGGCTTCTCTTTCTTTTCTTTCAGAAAGACAAAGCTGAGAAATTGTATCTTGATATTACAGGGAAAGAATAAGGAGAGAGGTGTGGCCAATCATGTTTTATTTACACTGTCAGTGGGATAATATATTTTGATCTGGAGGTCACTCATAGTTCTCTGTGCATTTACTTTTAAGAGACTGTTATAGATTCATATTCTTAATTTATGAACTGTATAATGAGGGTTTCATAGGGTTCAGGAAAATATAGGTCACTGCTCCTTCCTCCCATCTTCCTCTCTTTTAAATGTCAGCTGCACCCTTTTGCTGCTGTTTGCTGGACTCCTACGAGAATCAATTTTTAACTTGCCAAAATGGCAGAAAACCACCCACTCCGTTTTGCTGGGATAGTTTTCTGTCATTCTTGCAAGGTACATCAGCGTAGCTAAGGCTCCAGCAAGCACCAGGGCCAATGGATGGGAGGTGGAAGTAGGCACTGTGAAATACCTTCTCCATTTGCCAGCAACCAGGCTGTGTCAGCTCTACAGTAAGTGAAATTTTACCTTAAATCAATAGATAGCAATATTTATTTTACATTCTTTAGAAGAAAAAACATGGTAAGTTTTACCACAGTTTTCAGCATCTMCAATAAACTGTAATAAATCAGTGGTTGAACCTAACTAAAAAGGAATTTWAAAACTATGCTAGTTATGTAATTATGTCTCCCAAGAACCACAGGAAATTAAAAATGTAGCTTTACGAGGCAGATAAAAAGCTTACAAATAATCACAGAGCACAAGATGGGAGGTCCATTGTTAGACAAGGCATTTACTAGAAACGATGAGAAACTGTAAATGCTATTCAGAAATACAATCACAGCAAACAAGAAAGGCAAGCACTACAAAGGATTTCTTGAAATGTGTTAGCTCTAAAGCAAGAATGGTAGCACCTAAACTTAATAGGATTGTTTCATAATTGATTATTTTTCTGTGGTGAGCTGCTCTTCTGCTATCTGAAAAACTGCTCCTACTCAGCCCTTTCCATTTCTATTTTCCCCTGTCTCACCTAGAAGTATTTCTTAAGTACTGAGACAACCTCTGCCTCTTGGCAAGTCTATTCAAATTGCCTTGCTTAAGAAATAAGCCTTTTCTTTAAAGAGATCATCTATGCAATAAAGCTCATGGCTTTTGAGAACTACAAACCCTGTTCTGCACACAGCATTTTTGGTTTATAATGTGTTGTTTTGCATTTGCAAGGACAGTATAATTTGCATCTCAAGACAGAATCCTCTTTCCTCTTTCTTGATCATATGGGACACAGAAAGATTTTGCTTCTGATGCAATTTCAAAAGTATAATAAGAAAACACAGCCGAATTTTAATTATTTACATTGATTTAGCCAAACATTTGATTTTCTATAATATCTAGACATAGATTGTTTAACTTGGAATAARAAAACTTCCTTTGTTATTAGCTCAGCAAAGGGCTCAAATATTTCCTTAATATATATGTCTATATGCTTTTCTCTTGAACTCAGTGACAGAGTGGGAAGAAGTTAAGGTACAATCCTAAGGGCAGGAAGAGGTTAAGGTGTAATCCTAAGGGCAGGGTGATTGCTGCAGACCTCAGGAGACCAGAGAACTTCTCTGCTCTGACATAATTTCTTCTGTGAGTCTGGGCAAAACCCTTGAATTCAGAACTAATAAAGCAGACAAATGATGCCTGGGCACTGTTGTGTGGCCCTTATGGCCCCCATCTTGCTCCTCCAGGACCTGAAATGCATCCTRTCAGATTCATTGTCCACCCCGCCCACAGTCAGTAACAGCTGTTAACACCAGATACTTCAGAAAAAGATGTGAATCACTCTGCTTACCTGTAGCTCGGTGTAATTGATATGTTGAAGCCTCCATATCCATACAAGAAGGCAGGATGAGAACCATCTAATTTAATTCCTTTCTTGTGAATAATAAACATTGGGATCTTAGTGCCATCTTTGCTAGGGTAGAAAACCTAAGACAAGAGAAAAAGAAATATGAAATTTTTTTGGAGGTGAGCATTTCTGAGGTGTCTGACAGGTAAAACCTTCCCAGCAATTTGCACCAATTGTCCAGGTCAGGTTCAGTAATGGACAGCACCTGCTTGGTTGCTTAATAGCTCTAGAAAATGCATCAAAATGAGACAACACAAAGGGTATGATGGWATCCTGTTTAGATATCTTAACCATCAATTCTACATACAAGAGGGTTTAAGAAAACGTTACAAAAATAATACAATTCTCTGCATAGGAAGACAGTGAAAACACAAAGGGCTGCATGGACCATCACATGTGAAAAGAAAGACTGAGCTGGCACAGAGAATAAAAAGAACTAAAACCAGATTTCCCATCTAAATTTATAATTTCTAAAAATGCACCCTTTTTAAAAATTCAAACTTCAGACTCTAGAGAACAGTGGACAGAGAAGGGAGAAACTCATGGTAAGGTGGTGACTTACTGAGAAACCACTAAACATTACAATATTTTAGACAACAGAGAGCTGCTACTACAAAAAAAYAGATAAAATTCTCTGAAGATCTGATTTTGTACTTCAGAAATCACTGAAGATTTTACWAGCAATCTTTTCTTGTAAAAACATAAATTTCACCACCAGCAGAAGACCAAATATACTTTAAAAGTCACAGGACTTTTTTTTTTCTTATTTATACACTAGTATTAACATTTCTCAATAGAGGAACTCCACACACCAGATTCAAGAGTAAAGAGAAAATTCTGAGAAGCTGAAGACACCATTTCTTATTCAGTCTTGTGAAAACAGCAAAYAGCTGCCTACTCAACACTTGCATCTGCAGCATGAACTCACCAAGGCAGGACTTCATGCAGCAAAAACGGACTGAGCACTGCCCAGCCTTTCAAGGTTGTCTCAGGGACACTTCACCTTGTCAGAGTGGTAACACAAGCCATCACAGAAGCTTTTGTAACACTCAGTGCATTTTCAGACATTGCCTAGCAACAAGAATCAGGAGACCCAACCTTGCAGAATCTCCAATCCATCAAGGAAGACAACTGAACTGGCTTTCAGGAAACCAGCTCCCAAAATACCAAATATCCACATAGCACATGCTTTCATATGTCTTTCTATTGCTGTCATAGCACWGTGTGAAGTTAAAAACTGAACTCCATGTACACAAACAGAGACTGTAATTGTTTAACACAGTTCCCACATCTTCTTGATTTGGTGCATGTCTCTGCCTGCATACTCTAATTTGGGATCCAGTGTGTCATACTTTGCCAGTCAAGCAAAACACATGGCTGTGAATGCAGTTTACTGCTTGTCCTAAAATTCTCGCTGATTCCTTTCCAGCCTTGCTATAACATCATTGCAGCTTATATTCTAATTAGAATAAAAACGCAGTAAATGAAGAATGACACATTCTTGTAATTTAGTTGCATGTTTACTATCTCTGCTTTTAAAGGAAATAGTCCTGCCATGATTTATAGAGCACACGATTAACAGGCTCTATTTTTACAACACATGAACCTCACCAGTAATATGAACCTATACAACACATTTATTCTGAGCATTGCCTGTAACGTGAAACATGTAAATCCACATGGCATGTTGAAAACAAAGTAATCACTTTTAATTTTAGTTTAATCTTTGCTAAGGAAATGTGAGAAATTTCAAATRAAATCACATCTACTTCCGAAGGATTTACCAAAAACTCTAGACATATTACAGATAAAAAAAAAATCAGTATTTCAGTAGATAGAAAAAAAATCAAAACAAAAGCCTAAGGGAATTTTTACACAGATGAAATCAGAGTTTCCAACTACTGCCATAACTGTATATTTACTGACAAAGTGCTCAGTCAGAACAGTAGAGCATAAAGGATTTTCGCTTTAAATAGTTACTTGAACACTATAAACAAATGAAATAACTGATGAACAGGAGAACCGCTGAGGCTGATGATGAGGAGTTCCAGAGACTCTTCCCTAAAAATGCATCCAGCAACTCTAGCTGCTGCTGGCAATTTTCAGGAAGTGAGCACCTGCCCTTTCTACATTTCCAGAAACTTACTTCTAGCCCTTTCCTGATGATTAAAGTATGCCACTRATTTTACTGCTGGTATCTGAATGAGGACTTTTTTTTATAATAACAATTCCCTGAAAACTGACTTCTGTAGGGCTTTTATGGTCATCAGTTAAGATAAAAYAACATACCATTAAATGAAAAGTCAACAGAAAAAAAAGATGCATGTAAAGCTGACATTTGTAATTTAAGAGTTTTCACTCGTATCTTGGCTAAAATAATGATTAMCTCTCCCTCCAAGATTAACTTACAAGAGGGGGGGTGGAAATCAATTCAGTGAGACACTAAGATATGCAAAGCTACTTAAGCTTCTCCAAATAGACTRTTTTCAACAACTGATTCAATCTCACCTTTAAATTAGCTGTTATCTCTGAAGCAGWGTCCAATGGTTTATTCACGTAACCAATAAAGGGACATGTTTCTATCTCAAAGATTAAGGTAAAGTGCAAAGGGCAAGCTTGAATAAGGATTTCCCAAGATGGTGTTTCATGGCTAATTTTAGACACTGTCAGCTTTTACAGTAGCAAATGCTCATAAAAGGGTACTCCCATTTTCTGCTTTATCACAGACAGGAGTGTTCCACTTGTGTCACTCACATTATATTACACATTGCTCATATATTTTCCAATGAGGTCTCAAGTCMCTAAAGTCAGCACATATGAGAAGAGGACAAGTTAGGAAAAAATATTTTGGAGGGAAAAGGATGGAGAAAAACATTTCAGAARTATTATTATGAATGCTGGAACTCACCATTCAAGGAGGGACATACTAAAAATATCTTCAGTCTTTAGGAATGCAACAACAATGCTGTGTGGTTGACAGGGCACTCCTGCTGCATGCAACCCTTGGTGCTATTCTAGGAGCACACTGCTGGAGCAGTACAGCAGCCCTGGAACAGTTGTAGCTCACTTTGTCTCACACTAATGTCCCTATGTGTCACATGGCAGAGGGTCTCAGTGCCAAAATCACTTTCAAATCAGATGCCAGAACCTGAGGCATACATTTATAGTCTTCAGTCTACTTTTTTTGACACCAGGAGAAAGCAACACTGTTTGAACAGTTACTCATTACTATAAACTACACAAAGATTAAGTTACATAAGCTAYGCAAAGCCCAATATTAATCATTCTTTAGTGCAGACATATATATTTATAGCGTGGTGTTGGTTTTTAAACTTAGCATTTGAAAGCTATTTACACTCTATTTTCACCTGAAAAAGTCAATGGAATTTTAGTCCAGACAGTTTACAGAGTAAGTTTTACAAGCAAATACAGTTAATGGCTCTGTGATTTGGCTTGTAAATTTACTTAGGAGTTAGGCAGGATAAACAAGTTTYATACATTCACTCCTGGAGAGGTTTGTCCTCTTAATTATTAACTGCTTGAAYTGTGCAGTATTTGTGTTAGGTGAATCTTCAATTAGGGAAGAGGGGAACTATTACATGGCATTGCAGATACAGATCTAAATTCAGAAAGACTCTATCCACCTCTACCTCCGCAGTGACAAGATGCATCCTCTCCATCTTAAGTCACCAGGAGGCTTTTCAGAAAAGCAAAAGGATTTGAAAAACAGAGTTTGCAGATGAAGTTCTTCTACAGAGATATCTACAGAGATAGCACTGCCAGACATTGCTATATACAGAACTAGAAATAATTTTGGCAATCATCCAATATGCACGTCTGTCTGCATACTCACATTGTGTGATATAACTAAAAATACATAAAACTATTGACATTGAATGGTCAATGAATTCACTTCAATTTTTAAAAATTAAAAACCTCAGCAACTTTTGAGTWTTTAGTTTCACATTTTCTCCCTTTCAGAACTATTTTCTCTGTCKATATAATGAAGAGATTAAAAGTTGTATTATAATTGTATTGTAATTATAATTGTTTGGTAAGAAAAGTGCACCTGGTATCATCTTGCTTTTACAAAACCTAAAATCCTTCTACACAAAAACCAACTCCAAACCTGTATACATTTAAAATTAATTTTCAAAGGTTATATTCAACACAAGTTTTGAAATACTGCTGTATAAAGCAAATTCAAAATAATCTTTTCTATATGGGTCTAATGTATATATTTTTTGAACTGTGAACAATATCTGAATGTTCAGAAATCTTTTAACATTTGCCTGACTTGCCCATTAATGGCAATGCATTAAAATCCAGTTACAAAGTGATTAGCTTGTCTTGACAGAAAGAATTATTTGCTGCAGATAAAACATGAATTTTATACATGAAAAGAAACTTTGATTTCTGAGACTTGAAAACACCCCCTAAGTCACAGAAGGCTAATTATTCCTAGGAAGCCAGCAGTTATTCTAATAATGTCTCTCCCAAACTCTCTTTCAAAATCAGGTATTATGTACCAGAAATAGCAATTGTTTCCATGTCTATGTGTGCCTGATCAAAACCAGGTAAGAATTACACTTGTCATTAGACTGACATCCATTGTAGGAAATGCCAAAAAATTTTACAAAGAGCAACTAGAACGGCATATAAGTCTCTCTTGAGATGCCAGGACAGAAACATCATTGATTCAAACAGAATCATGTGCTCCCTTCCACACCACCTGTCCATAGCCCATTCCATCACTCATTGCCTCTCACCTTACAAAAAACCTGACACTAGTCTGGGGCTAAAGACTATATAGCACATCACAAGCAAAACACCCTACTTGTTGCAGCAGTGGCATGGATCCAAGTATAAGATCACCAGTGGCGCTGGGCAACTCTGGCAGCCAGCCAGTGGCCACCTGYAAGAGCAGCTCTTACTAACCACCAGCTTTTGTATTCTTATATAGAGCATGAATCAGAAGTCAGGAAAAAATAACAGAGAACTGTTATCACTACAGAATTGGAGGTTTCCTTTCTTCAGAGGGGAATCCTCATCAATCTTCTTTAAGCCTCTTAAATTAGCT